CTCCCCCGAAAGCACGGGGGGGGGGTGTGCGTGAACCTCGGTTCGCGTGGAAAGTGTATGCGTGAAGGCAGTAGGTTCCGTTGTTAGGCGTTGGATGTTGTTTACATTTTTAAAACGTAAACACAGAAATCTCATTTCGTTTAGTAGACGCTTGTATTCAGTTCTTGAAGGTAGTCAGTTACATTCGTACTCTCACATTATGTGTACCGATATTCATCCTCGTCTTCACCCAAAATTGATAAATTTTTCTTTTTTTTCTTCGTTCCACGACATTATTTCTGAGAATAAAGTTGCACAAGTTTTTCTCGAAGAGATGAAGATAATTCCATCATCAACATCAACACCGCCTATTTGTTGTGGATTACCAATGAGAGTCGAAAATAGTTCTCTCTTGAAATTGAATTGGAGATGGCGTTGTTCAGCTCAACAAGGAAAAAAGAAGAAAGGATTGAAATGTTGTCGCAAAATAATTAATCCGAGTGAAGGAACATTCTTTGAAGGAACTAAGTGTCGAATCGAACTTCGTGAAATTGTTGCAATTGTGATATGTTTTGTAATGAAAATGTCTGTAACTGATGTCACTTATCATCTCCGTTCATGGCGGTATCAACAACATAAAGATGAATTAAGTAATTCAACAGTGAGTGATTATTTTTCATGTTGTCGAGAAATTGCAGAAATCATTAGTTCTCATCATATTAAAATGCTTGGTGGTGTGGAAAAAACGATACAAATTGACGAAACTTTTTTGACTAAAAGAAAGTATCATCGAGGCCGTGTTACAGAGCAAATGAGTATTGTTGTTTTGGGGTTGTATTGCAAAGAAGACAAAACCGGCGTTTTTATAAAAGTAGATGGAAAAAGCAAACGTCATTTGTGGCCATACATTAAGAAATTTGTCGATCCAAATACATCTATAATATGTACGGACCAAGCGAAGCAATATCATGGTGTAGAACAGCTTTTTGAACCACCATGCACTCATCTCACCACTAATCACAGTGTTGGAGAGTTTGTGGCTGCAGATAATTCTTTGAACACTATTAATGATTTAGAAAACCAGAATAAACTATTTAAAAAATCAATAATATCTCGCAAATCAACTCAATTACTTTATCAGTACATGGCATTGTATTACTACCGTAAAAACATTTTGGAAAAACAATATCGCTGTGATCTTGGCTCTCAAATAATGCAATTCTTCGAGGACATGGCCAAAGTGTATCCTGGTTACATTGATGGACAAAAAATGGACGGACTTTTTTTGAAAAATCTTGAACTTCTGTCACAAGATGAAGAAGATATTACTGATATATTGCCACCACTGAAACGTCATCGTGAGATGTCACTCGAGGAAGAATTTGATTTTGGCAGTGACAACAATTCTGATGATGATTCAAGTTTCGATTCATAATGTATGTTATAAAGAGTATATTTTATTTATAAACTAGAATTTTTTGGTGACCTTGACAACATACTAAAATATCAAGGTCATCCAAGATGGTCCCCCCCATCTGTACAATTACCAAGTAAAAATTTATATTATATTTATTTTGAGCTTTAATACTGCATATCTCGAAAACTAAAGCAGTTAGCCCTATAAGACCTATATAATTTTGTGTTTAGCGTAAAAAATACTACCAGAAACCACAGTCAAATCAAGGGGCCCCGGTTATCGTGTTCTCCCCGAAGCACATTTTGCTTGTCTCACGCAAAGCTCATAATGCGTTATATAAAATCAAGTTCAATAAAAATAGTCTTTCTACTGCATTGAGAGTAAAGCTCGTCGTCACTTTGGTCTTGCCTCATATCGATTACTGCTGTTTGGTATATCATAGCCTAACCAGTGAGCTCAATTTAAAGCTTCAGAGGCTAGTAAATTGCAGTATACAATTCATTTTCAATCTCAGGCGTGACGTACATATTACTCCGTATAGGCGGAGACTAGGCTGGCTCCGAGTTGAGAACAGAAGGCTTTACTTTTTCGGCTGCATGATGTATAGAATCATTTACATGCGCTCCCCATTATATTTACGTGATCTTTTTACTTTGCCTGACCCATCACTCAGGAGGTCCGAACGGCATGCCACTTCTTCTCAAACATTTAGTCTGCCTGCTCATAGAACAGTCACATATAGAAACTCATTCCATATCTCGTCTATTTATTTTTGGCAATCTCTCCCGCCTAGCGTTACATCTGCATCTTCTCTTATATCTTTTAAAAGCCTTCTACGGTCTTTCTGGCATCGGAACTCGAGTCTGAGTAAAGTTATAATCGCCGTAATGTTGTGCACTGTAGTGAATCAGATTGAGAGCAAAATGTGGTATAAAACATTATGTATATATCGTTGCTTATTATATTACCGTTATTCTGTATCGTTGCTTATTATATATTACCGTTATTCTGCAATACATGCGTCGAGTGGTTGAGTGACCATGTACGTTATTTGTACATGAGTGTACAAGTTAGCTGTATCGGCTAGCTTTAAGTACGTTAGTTTTGTAGTGCGTTAGTCTATAAGTGCGGTAGTTTTAAGTTGTTTATATCTACTGTTCCATAGATTCGTGTTGCTTTATGTTGTATTGTATATTTCTGTGAATAATGTTATATCTATCAATTTGTTAATTTTATGAAATGTCATACCGTACGGTGCCGATCGTACTGCTTGAAGTGACAATCAACTTCAATATTGTTTGAGAGCACTTGCACCTCATCTTGCAACTGTTAAATTGCTGTATTTGCTTCAGTATTGTAATTGTATGTTACTTTTTGCCCTTTAGCCTTTGCTTGGGCATAATAAATTCTCTCTCTCTCTCTCTCTCTCTCTCTCCCTCTCTCCCTCTTTCCCTCTCTCCCTCCCTCTCTCCTTCTCTCCCTGCTCCCTCGCTCTCTCTCTCGTGAGTATTACTTGTGTCACGCTGTTTCCTTGCTCTGATATTTGTGGAACACCATTTCTGCTGTAAGTTGCCTCCGGGCGGTTTTGTTGCAGGTTTGAGCAGGTCTCTGCTTGCTTGTTAAGAATAGATATAAGGTCTTTCTTTCCCAGCAACTTGAATGTTGGATATTTCGAGGTAAAGATTGTGTTGGGGTAGTTTGTATTACGCGCGTAGCAGAGACGGCGCGCAGGTCGTACGTAGAGAGCGTGCGTATAGTCGAGCGTAGCTATTGGTTCCGAGCGGCGCTGCAGCGAGCAGCAAGATCACGTGATACAGCGAGACGGTCGTTGTACGAGAACGATTGAGTCCGTCGGCAGATACGATTCAGATACTGCCGAGACAAGTCCACGGCATGGTCGGTAGCCATATTCTTTTGTACGCAGTTTTAAAATACATTGTAGTGTTAAGTGTACAAGAAGACCAGTTATTTCTTCCTACCTTACCCCTCGCTCACGGGCCTTACTCGGTCACATACACAACAGATTGCTTCTGTTCTAACCTCTATCTGTCTGATTTGTCATCTGGCGAGGATTTCTGCTGCGCATGCTCATGGTTTCTGCTTCTCATATCCCTGCGCATCGCTATTGGTGGACACGTGCATGAGTTGCCACTTTCACCGCTCTCTCTGTACTCGGCTGCTATTGGACGGGCAGAGAAGTGTGACACCGATCGAACCACAGCTGTAGCTGTGGTGTATATGTGTATATGTGGTTTTCTTTGCGTATTTCATGCCTGCTGCATGATCAGTGTGCCTAGTGACATTTAGGTTTAAGTAACAAGTAAACTTACAACACATGCAGCCAACGTGCACTAATAGTGAATTCGGTCGATTTGCACTGGCACTGAACCCGTTTTGCACTAAACTGTACGAGTACAGCACTAGGTCGGGTCGACACTAATGTTGCACTAAAGGCCTTCACACATAAAATGCCGTAAGGACGTAAAACGTAAGCGTAAGAAAATCGATCAATCCCAATCAAGTATTTTCCCCTACTGGGGTTACGGTCAGCACAATACTTGATTGGGATTGGTCGATTTTCTTACGCTTACGTTTTACGTCCTTATGCGATTTTATGTGTGAAGGCCTTAAACTGTACGAGTGCAGCACTAGGCCGGGTCCATGGCCGGGTCGACACTTTCTCAGTACAACACTCACTTGATGCAACACTGCAACCGTTTAGCATTCCATTAGTGGTAAACTGAATTATTGGTGCAAATATGGATGTTACTATAAATAAATTAATATTAGATGCGAACGGTAAAATAATAGAGGATGAGTCTGGCGTTTTATGCGAAGTGGAAAATGAAGCAGGTAATACTCTTTATATTTAATATTTTTACATGTATAACCTATAATACATTTCTACCCTTAATAAAATGTATATAGAATATATATATACAATACATTTTATATATTTTATTATTGCAGGTGATTCAAGCATAATTATGGTGAATAGGAAAGAATTGTTTCAAGCTGGATATGAAATTCCTGAAAATAACTTTAATTTGTGCGAGAGAGGAATAGAAGAATCTACAAGTTGTAGTGGAAACGACGAGTTAGATGCAAGTACTAAAAGCAATGTTGACGAATGGTCAGATGAAAGCACAAGATTGTTATTGGATAAGTATGCCGATTATTTGAAATTAGTTGGTCCAATGAAGAAATTCAAAAATAAGAAGATAATGTGGATACAAATTGCAAAAGACTTAGAAGCAGTTTTAGGTATACAAAAGACGTATATCCTATGTGAAAATCGTTATAAAACTATCCTTAGAAGAAAACGTGTTAGCGACAAAAATAATTCGACTTCCGGATCGAAAAGAGTTAAAGTAAGTTTTGAGAATGAAATTAAACAGATTGCTTCCAAAGATGACAGTATAGAACCAAAAGTATTACAAAGTGCAAATAAGTTTGTAGTTAATGTTAAAAGTAAGGTCAAAAGTTCGTCTGAAGCTGAAATATCCAAAATAATAAAAAATAAAAAAACAAAATCTAGTTTAATTGAAACTCTAGTTGAGATTCATAAGGAAAAAGAAAATAAAAAGCAAGAACGACATGAAGAGAAAATGAGACTGTTAAAAAGTTTCTTTGAAAAAGAAAATATTCATAAGGATTCCTAAGATATGTTATGTGATTATATTACACATCAAACGATATTTTCTATATTAGTTTTCTATGTTATTTCTAAACAGATATAAAGATACAGTAATATATAATCTAAAGAGAGATATTTATGTTTAAAATAAGAAATACATGTGATAAAACCATACATTTTTTTTTAGTTTGGTATTAAATACAAATATTGTAATTTTCTTTATTCTTAATATAAAGTCAGATTTGTTTATGTATTGTATACAAAAACCAATTTTAAAAATATTAAAGTATAATGTATACATGTATTTTGTATATGTTGCGTGCGTGCGCTGTATTTCTGTATTGATAACGCAATTTTATTTTCTTACTATATACTTTTTAAGAACATACTGTGCAATAGAAATGTATGTAACTCTAAACATGACAGCTATGTTTCTATTATTATTATTGTCTTAATATCTGTATATGTGTGGTAATATTACTATATATTTTAATAAGTTTGCGACAAATTTTATTATTAAGCATATTTGGATATTTGCATAGTATTAAATATAATGCTGTATTAATAACATAACTTTGTTTTTTCATTAGATACTATTTAGTTGTAAAAATATGCTGTGCAAGAAAATAACTATGTTAGATACATGATATATATATAATTTTAACTTATGGTTAAAATAAATTATTATAAGTACTATCATATTACTGTGTTCACAGTACTTATTATATGTCAGAAAAAACTGTATGCACAAACAATTAATCTATACTCAATATATATCCAATTTTTTACTAAATATATTGGGTATAGATTAATTTTTTTTTCCACGTTGAAATTAAATTAATGTAATATCTGACACAAAAAATTTCTCTTTTCTTCACCTTCAGCTCTGTCTGCTCTATCATTATTTCTACAACCTTCTTCAAAATTGTTCTCAATATTTTGAAACTGTTCATCTACTTCCTCAAATAAATCATCTAGTTCATCGTTATGAAGAATACATAAATTATGTAATGCACAACAAGCTATAATAAATTTACAGCAACGTTGAACAGTATGAAAGTCTAATCTAATCAGTTGTCTGAATCGTGCTTTTAATAAGCCAAAGGCATTTTCAATTTTTACTCGACAAACAGAAAATTTGTAATTAAAATTTCGTTGCTCTTCTGTTAAATTCCCATAATCTCTATAAGGAGTAATGAGATATTTTTTACGAGAATAGGCAGCATCGCCTAATATATGCCATTCATTCCCACATATACCTGGCAACATAGTATTTATAAAAGATAATTTGAAAATACGTGCATCATGAATTTTACTAGGTGGCCCTGTGAAAACATCAAGAAATCTCTTCTTCGCATCACATATTGCTTGCAACGTCAAAGAAGGCATATCATGTCGATTTACGTATGTAGATTTTATTTTGTGAGCAGGTGTACGTATCATAATGTAAGTACCATCGATACATCCTAAAATTCCAGGAAAACCATTAATCTGTAAAAGTACATCTACGAATTACCTTTAATATTAAAGTGGTTGAGAAAGCATTATTAATTTGTTTTAATTCTACTTGAATATTTTTTAATCAAACATTGAGCATCTATCTACTAGCTGTTTAACGAATAACAATTAAATAGGAAAATATCTTTTTAAAACATGTATTGCAACTAGAAGAAATCAAGGATTCAGGGAATCCATTATATATCTTGAAACGAGATAAGAATTACGAAAGTAAGGAAATTCACTAGATACTCATACGATTTTATTTGTCATTTAGTAAATCTGCTCACTTTCGTAATTTTCATCTTGTTTCAAGATGAAATCGACCGTCCAGTAGTATGTCTTTTAAGTCTAGCAAGTTTATCTTGCTTAAAATACTGCATTTAATATATAATTCATAGAAGTGTTTGTTTCTTATTTACATTTTCAAATTGTTTCGAAACCTCTGTCTTTTCTTCAATTGTGTCAAGAAATTTTATTATGGACTTTGCTAAGTTATTTAGAAAATCCATAATATTATCACAAACTGCATGAAATGTAGATTCTGCCATATCAAATCTGCCTGCTACATCTCTAATAGTACTTTTGTTACCTGCAAACCTTTAATAAAAATACTAATAAATAAGTAGGTACATATATACGTTTAATAAATATATATTTCTCTATTGTACTTATTATATGTGTTTATGTATACTTCTGTGGAATATAATATTTTATTACCACAAAAATGCCAGAAATTTTGCATCATTTGATATAATGAGATTATCGTTTGTAGTATTTTGGCAAAAATCTGATTTTTTATATAAATCTTTTAACTTTATGTATGTATATCGTTGCAAACGAAAGTTTCTCTGAAACTGAATATTATATACAATTATAGTGTAGAAGTATAAAGTCATCTATGTGCACAATACATCTACATACATATATACATACATACATATATATATATATATATATATATCTTAAAAATATTTATTATTACATAATTTACCTCTTTATCTGAATATTCATTTATAATATTTATATATTTCTTTATTTTCGGCCTTTCTTCAGTTTTTAAAATTCGTATGACAATATTTATTTCTTCCTCATCGTCACTACTACTAGTTTCGAAAATTTCATTTAGAAACATAAATCGCTTCATTTCATCATCAGAATTCATTATTTCTAATGTCCCGTTACTTTTCGCTTGTAATAGCAAACTGCACTGACAAATTTGGCCGTGCAATAAACTTTGCACTCGTTCAGTTTATTTTGTGTGTCCGAATACAAAATCAGTGCTACACGAGGTCAGTGCAACACTCATCGAATATGCGATAAAGTATGTACTATAATAGTGCAATGTAACCGAATATGATGAGTGCAGTGCACTGAGACGGAGGGTATTGATCGAATGCGTTGCACTGGAAACGTTTGCACTCAGTGTACACTAGTGTACACTAGTGCAAGCGCCCGAATTCGCTATAAGTGTAGCAAGTCAATTGCGCACAAGTCGATTGAGTGCAGGGAGTGTAGGAGGATATTTCATCCTGGTTGCATTATTAGGGCGTATTCAGTAAACAGATACGCGGATGCTTGCTGCAAATCATTATTAGCGTCACTCGACATACCTCCTCTCACACCGCGAACTGAGGAGAGCGCACAGTCATTTGACTTCGATCTCAGGAACATGGCCTCTTCTGTCGACTCCCGCACTCAATCGAGCTCACAAGCCACGACGAATGAGTTGTTACACGGACTGAGTGATAAACTGGCCGGATTCATAGATAGTCAGTTGCGCACCAACAAAGAAATAACAGATAAGCTCAACGATCTTAATCGTATCGCGGATATTGCGGCGCAAAATCGTAAGCGCATTATAGAGCTTGAGCAAACGGTCTCCGCATTGGAGCGTGAGGTGGAGCTCAGAGAGCTAAAAACTGCTCAGTTGTTCCCGACGGCTGATGAGCACGTTGACAGCGAGCTCGTCATTTCGGGAGTGCCAGTTGCATTACAGATCACACCGGCCGTGCTGGTCCAAAACGTGTTTGAAGCCCTTGACATTAAGGATCTCTCGTGTCACGTTTTGAACGTGAGACCGATGATCCGGAAAGCAGCTTCGAATGTGAATGGTGATCGTTCTTCGCGTGCGCATGAGACTGGCTCGTTTGCGGTTACTCCGACCTCTAGTGCTGTCCAGGATAGAGTCATATCTAGAATGCGTGCGAAGCGAGTGCTCAAGCAAAGCGAGGTCTGCGGCAATGATTCTAATCGTAATATCCATGTAAACGAAATGCTATCCAAGGCCACATATGATTTGTTGCAACTGACTAGGAGGGTAGCGAAGAAAAAGTCATACAAGTTTGTCTGGATAAAGGGTAGACGCATTTGTGCCAGACTCTCAGAGGGTATGCCTGTTATTAACATAAATTCGAAAGCTGATCTTGCGAAATTGGTTTGACTTGAGCATAATAACAGTAAATCGCCACCCACCAATCACAGAAAATTACTCACGAACTCGTCTCAGTTTTGCGTAGCCCAGTTCAATGCCAATTCACTTCGAGCTCATATCGATTTAATCAGAATTCAGTTTGCGTCTAATCCTTTTCATGTAATTTTGATATCTGAAACTTGGCTGCACTCTGATGTTTCTGATGCACTTGTGGCCTTGGATGGCTATTTCCTGATTCGTCATGATCGCGATGGTAGACAGGGCGGAGGCGTTGCCTGCTTTGTTCACGATTCATTGAAGGCTAAAATTATAGCGGTTTCTCCGAGAGTCGACTTTAACTCTCCAGAGTATTTGATTCTCGAGATTCGTCTACCCAACAACGAGTCGGTATTATTTGCTTTGGTCTATAGAAGACCCAAGGGTCTCTTCCTGCATGAATTCTTTGAGACACTTACGAGTGTTTCACACTTGTACAAGAATATCATCATCGGTGGTGACTTGAATTGCAACCTCTTGTCGACCAATTCTGAGGCCAACCACTTGCGCGACCTGATGTCCAGCATCTCAATGATTATTGTAAATACTGGAGCTACGTACCATACGGCCGCTGCTGACTCGTGGCTTGATATCTTGGCGGTGGATGACGGCGACAAGATTATACGGCTAACCAAATCTGAAAGTCCGTTTATCGCTGGACATGACCTAATAGAAATAAAGCTTTCGCTTGGCACAGATCTTGACACCAAGCGTTCTACTGTAAGACGTAACTTCAAAAACATTGATGCTGAAGAGTTCTATGGTGGCCTTAGGTCCATCATGAATTATCCGAGGTACCTTGAGCGCATTCAGGCCATCACCGATATGGACGGCGGTTACTGTGTCGATGGTCTCTGTGTTGCGTTGTCGGATGCCATTAATGAAGCTCTAGATGCTCTGGCCCCTGCGCGTGTGATCGCGGTGCGGAGGCCGTCGGCGCAGTGGCTCTTGGACGATCTCAAAACGCGTCTTAGCGCCCGAAACAGGATGTACAAACAGGCCAAGCGCTCTGACTGTTTGCTTGACTATGCCACCTACAGGCACTTTAGGAATCGACTCAATGTTGACATCAGGCGTGCTAAAAGTGATATCCACTACAATTCACTTATCAGAATTACAGACTCGGCCAAGCTATGGAGAGAACTTGCACGACTTGGTCTGGTAAAACAGACACAAGTCTCTCCACTGCACTTCTTTACACCAGATCAGTTAAATATGTACTTTGCGTCAGTCTCGAGGGCTCAGCTGTCATGCTCATATGCAGAATTTGTCGCCGCCATTGCCTTGATTCCTCGACCAGCACTACGCCTACAGTTTAAGTTCTCTACCGTACTACCAAGTGATGTATACAAGCTTATTATGACTGCACCTCTGCATTCTTATGCGTCTGGTTCAGACGGCATTCCGTTGTATGTTCTGCGCATTGCTTGGCCGGTTATTTATTTGGTGCTTACGACATTGTTTAACCGATCGTTGGAGACTTCTACGTTCCCGTCGGAATAGAAGCGGGCACTAATCCGCCCACATTCCAAAACTCGAAATCCGCAGTCTCCGTTTGACACGAGGCCGATAGCAAATTTGTCTGAATTGTCAAAGATCCTTGAAAGAATCGTCGCCTTGCAGATTACACAGTATTTGGATGAGTTCGATCTGCTAAATCCTAGACAGTCCGCTTACCGTTCGGGTCACAACACTCAGTCCGCTCTCTTACGTGTCTGCGTCGATATCAAACGCGCGATTGATGATGGCCTTGTGACTATAATGATACTCTTTGATTTCAGCAAGGCATTTGTTTTTGACACTGTCCCACATCCCCAACTTTATATAAAGCTGAAAGAGATCGGATTTTCAGATGAAGCCATACTGTGGTTTTTCTCTTACCTGACTGGACGGTCTCAGGCAATGGTGGATGATCTTGGTAACATATCTGAGTAGCTGTTCACGTCATCTGGAGTCCCGCAAGGCTCTGTACTTGGTCCCCCACTATTTTCTGTATATATCAATGATATATGCCGTGTTTTGCTTCACACGTCTCATATGCTCTTTGCGGATGATGTTCAGGCTTATCTCTCGTGTCCGCCGGCTGACATCAATCGTAGTCTTGAATTGATTTCTAGGGATGCTAAGGCCATATTCGACTATGCCGAGGTAAACGGTCTCAAGCTCAATCCTAACAAGTCAAAGATTATTATATTTGAAAGTCGAGCTCATATTGGAACCATTAATCTAAATTTCTTACAGCCAGTAGTGGTGAATAATACACGAATTCCGTTTGTGAGTGAAGTGAGAAACCTTGGTGTTATCTTTACAGCCAACCTTTCTTGGAGGAGGCATGTCATCCATATCTCTCAGAAAGTTCATCATGCACTGTACAGTCTTAAATTCAATAGAAATTCTCTCTCGACTAAGTTAAGGATAAAGCTTGTTGTTACCTTAATAATGCCTCACATCGATTACTGCTGTCTGGTGTATCACGGCATGACTGCTGAGCTGAACACCAGATTGCAGAGACTGCTCAACTGCTGCATTAGATTCATCTATGATTTCAGACGAGATGATCACATAACGTACAGAAAGAAACTGGGATGGCTTCGAATTGAAAATAGGAGGCTGTATTTTATGGGCTGCTAGACATATCGGATTCTCCATATGAGATCACCCTCCTACATTCGTGAGCTTTTCGACAAACCTGATCCATCGTTGAGGAGATCCGAACGTCTGGTTGCAACTCAGACTTTCCACATTCCTTCGTACCGAACGGAAACATATACAGAAACTCCTTTCATATATCTGCAATGTATTTCTGGCACTCGCTCCCTAATAACATAACTTCTGCATCGACTATCGCATCATTTAAGAGTCTTCTTAGATCATTTCTGCTTGTATCCGAAATCGACTGAATATATCAACTTGCTGTTCTTTCCGTATTGAAGTCAGTACAGACGTCAAGCGAGTGCATCGGTTGCATGCTTCAAGTTGTTATTACTGGTGCGTTAATAATAATATAAGTGCGTTAAGTTTATTACTATTATTGTTATACAAAATTTTGTTGCTTTATAGCGTGTGCGTTAGTTTAAGCTTATATTACAGTTCTATAGCTTTCTGTTGCTTTATACCGCATAGCTTCGTGTATGAAGTCAATTCTACTGTTATTGTTGGTGTGTTAATAATATAAGAGCGTTAACCTTAAGTTTATCACTATAATTGTTATTCAAAATTTTGTTGCTTTATAGCGCGTGCGTTAGTTTAAGCTTATCATTATTACTGTTCTATAGATTTTTGTCGCTTTATACCGTATTGATAGCTTCGAGTATGATGATAATTCTACGGATTGGTCTACTAATTTTGTGCTATATTATACTGTATTGCGACTGCTGTGTCTGCTGGTGATTGTGGACCGCATGGCTTCCTGAAGTAGCCACTTGATTGAGAGCAACGTATTTTATCCTGTAACTACTAGATTGTTAACTGCTTTAATACTGCAATTATTGTATATGCTAGGGCGGCAATGTGGTCTAGTGGTAGAGCGTCAGACTCTTAATCTGAGGAACCAGGTTCGAGTCCACTAGAGCCATGAATCATGGAAAAGTTTTTTTCCGAAAAAACCGCGCCCCTCCGTGCAGATGCGGAGAAAACTGGGCTCCGTCTTTCGGAAGAGACGTTAAACCGTTGGTCCAAAGTAAGAAAGTAGGAAACAGTAAGGTAGTAGGATGAATATATAAAGTAAAATTCTTTATCCTTTTTTATTGTATATGCTTTATCACATTTTCCTTTTAGCCTTTGCTCGGGCATAATAAATCATCTATCTATCTATCTATCTATCCCTCTCTCTCTCTCTCCCTTCCTCCCTCCCTCTTTCCCTCTCACCCTCCTTCCTTCCCTCCCTCCCTCCCGCAAAGGCGACGGCGCCGCTACCGCCTGCACCGCAAGAATATGGGCTGGCAACGACTGCACCGCAAGTATATGGGCCGACAACTACATCGCAAGGATACGTGTTCGGACCACGAGGTCGAAACGTTAGTCTAATCATTATTTACTTTTATTAGCTTGGTTTATTAGTTTCTTGTTTTAAATGTTTTAAACATTAAAGTGTTATTATAAAAAAATATATTAATAATAATTTTAATTTTTTAGCAAACAAAGCAAGCCTTCCATAGGTTTATGCAGAAGGAGAAGCGGAAGCAACATCAGCAAAGTCAGCAAGCCAACCGGCTTGCAATGAATCGGCTTGCACCGCAAGGAAGTGTGCCCGCACCGTCTGTATCGCAAGGTTATGTGCTGGCAATGACTGCACCGCAAGGATATGGGCCGGCAACGACTGCACCGCAAGGAAATGGGCCGACAACGACTGCGCCGCAAAGATATGGGCCCGCTCCGCCTGTACTGCAAGGATATCTCGCACCGCTTGTTCCGCAAGGAAATGTGCCAGCAACGACTGTACCAGAAGAACATGTGGTCGCACCGTCTGTACTGCAAGGAATATTAATTCCGAAGTAAGGAGGAATCACTCCTTTTTTTTATAAGACACTTCTTATAATATATGTTTGAAATAACCGCGTAGTATAAAATCGCGAGGAGAGGTAGAGAGCCATTGTATCGACATAGCTCACATAGCGGTCGATGAATCGATCATGCAGCGACTCGTGTCGTTGTAAACAATTAAGCAGCGTTTGTTATTGTCTCCAACACGCACTTCCGATTTCCGCAACGCGAACGAAGAAGATGAAGTGACGATCGTCTCTCTGCGCGTCCATTTCGGCCATTCGCTCTCGAAAAGTCGAGCCATGTAACACGTTTATCAGTTAGAGCCTGTTAACCGTTTATAACCTTGAGTCGAGTGTTTTTGACTGAATTGTAACATTGTAATATTTTTAATATTAAAATTTTTTTAAGCGCAAAAGCACTACATGACATGGCAGCATTACGGGTGGCCTTCTAATCATCAGACACCTGCGGAATTCAAAGTTCGCCCGTGGCGATACGTGCTTTCCGATGA